AGTGTGATGGAAAAGTAATGGCAGTGTAATATATTAGTGTGATCAGGTAACCATCGATGATCCGTGACGACACTCTGGTAGTTGGCTGTGATAAATGCCAATGTTGCGGTAATAGTGTGGTAGTTAGAATGTGACAATGTGGTGAGTGCCCCAGTGTAACAATGACAACGTGAACTCTTATTTTTGTCTTAAAAGACTTATGACTCTTATTTTGGTATTGTCATAGTTTTTTACTTCCATTTAGGGAGTTCACTTATCAGGTTTAAAAAAACCTATCAGAGCAACTCTATTTATTAATCCCTCTGTTATCCATAGATCTTCTCATTACGCGTTACGATGTTTGAATTACTTTATTATCAATTCCATTTATTTGATTGTAGGTGTTAAATTTAAAAATAAAATGTGTATAGTAGAAAACTACAAGAAAAAATCTATTAAATAAGAGGTGACAAGACTATATTATTTGAATAAAGAAGTAGTAAAATAAGCAAATAAAGTGAGTTACGTTTAATTGACTCTGTAAATATTCTATTTAAATAAGCAAATAAAGTGAGTTACGTTCAATTTATTCTATTTAAATATTATTATAAAAAATAAAGTTTACGTATTTAAAAATTACATAAAAAATTCTACAAATAAGAGGTGACAAGAGTATGTTACTAAATAACCAATGAAAATATTCAAATAAATAAAATTGTCGTGATTTTTTAATAGTAAAGTGTGACATTTTTTTGGAACGGAATTAGAATTGAATTGGAAGTTGAAATTCTTTGGAATTGATTTGGATGTAATTGCATTGTCGAATTCCAATTCATTTTTGGTACTACCAATTTCAAATTCACATATTTTTGTGATACCAAATAGAAAAAAATAGAATTCTTGTCCTCAATTTCAATTATATAGTTTGAATTCCGTGTACCAAACATAGCCTAAGTGAAAACATCATAGTAAGCGAGCAAACGGGTCAAGGATTAACCGATCGAGCCGGTCGACTTGGGGGTCCAAGACCCGGTCTACTATAATTAAAATCATAATATTTTATATTATATTATTAGATGTTTTCAATTAGTAAGAGATTTTAATTCCTCTTTTTTCAGTCTTCCATTTAATTTTCAGTATCGTTTTACGATTGAAGGGGAGACTATTGGAGAAGTACTAAGCAGATTGAAAGCTAACCCAACCAACCAAATACAGATTGAGAGTGCATGGGAGCCATCTTTGCTGCAAGCACATATTTTATTTGGAGAGCTAGAAACCATTATTTGCATAGGAATACTTTCCTATCTGTGGAAGAAACAATCCACAAAATCGAATACACAGAAGCCATACTTGATTTTATTTTGTGTTGTCTATTAGCATGAGAATTAGGGGGTGTATATATACCTGTGTTATCGGTCCAAAAGGTGGAATCGCCCACCCCAGGCGCCCCCACCCCCTTGCCCGACAGGAATGGTGGAGGATGTAAATCATGGTGACTCAGTCGGCCAAGAACGCTAGACCCGTGCCCACCGCGCACAAGGAGCCTCCTCACCCTTTATGGGATATTTGGATAGCTCCCACACTGCCGCTTGCGGGATTCGATCCCTGGTCATCGGTCCAAGATTTCACGCTCTTGACCAACTGAGCTACCCATGCGGGCATATATACCTGTGTTATCAAGGTGATACATAGTGGTGACCCTATGTAATGGTGATTTGGTGTTTAATAATATTTGCATTTTGTTCAAAAAAAGGCTAGGTAATGTGTTCTTATATAATGCTCCGTAATCCGTATGTACCATTCCAGACTTATATTTAGTTGATCGAAACAAAATAAAGTAGAATAATAAATTATTTTAATATATTTAAGTATAACTAATAAATATTTCTCAATTTTTATTGATGACAATAATTTTTTAGAAATGTTTTTTGGAAAACATAATTTTTAGGTATAAGTATTCATATTAATTTTTAAATAAAACATAAACAATTTTTTTTAAAACTATTTTTATAAGTTCATAAAACAAATATACTAGGAGCTCATTTGGTGAGTTTTGGAGATATGATAAAATAAGAATTTGAAAAATGGAAAAACTTATATGCGTTTTGAATTCTGAAATAAAGTCGTTTGGCGAAAATTTAAAATTACGATTTAATTGGGGATAGGCGGGGGAGACCGACAATAAGGATGGTTGGTGGTGGCAATTATAACTGATGGTAGAGAATGGTCAAAGATTGAGAGAAATATCAAAACCCTCCATCAGTAGGATTTATAATATCTGGAGATATCAAACTAGATATCTCTCTTGGCCTTCCAAGAAAAATAAAGATTTTGATGTCTTGAAATATTAAAACTTATATCTCTTTTACTTACCAAACACTTCTTAGTTACTAGTGAAATCAACCTAAATGGGACGAAAACATAGAAAAAAGTACTAAAATAAAACTTTCATATTTTTATTCCCGATATAGCACTTCGAACTGTAGTAATGTGGCACTGTACAATACTGTATTTTTTGGTAATGCACATGACCATGTTTGCTAATGTAAATGTATTTTAACTCCTATTTCGGGAATAAAAACATGGAACTTCTATTTTGATATATTATCAATATTTTACTCATACTTTTGTTTTTTTCCTAGTTACCACTTGTGTATCTTTTTTCTTTTGAACAACTAAAAGTTTTATTGAAATCAACATAACTAAATTGTATCCTATTGGTGTAACATCGTGATACCAGTGGTTTTGAGACAATTACAGTGCTTTGTTGTTAAATAAAATTGGGTCTTCTAAAATACTGGGCCCTGTCCGGCAGGGCTGCTCGTCCTACCCCTGACTAGCTATGCTGACAGTAATACCAAGATATAATACCAAAATATTTTGCATTGTCATAAAAATTTATTACTCATATTTCAGAGATAAATGCTCTAATTTGCTCTTTTTGGACTATTTATTTTGTTTTATACTTTCTACGTCCTAAATTATTTATTCTAGTTTGACTCTTATGCGAACTTTAATAATAAATTAAATATAATTTTAAATAAATAAATATTAAAAAATTTGATCAAAACTACTCCCTCCGTCCTATATTGATCTTCCCGCTTTGACTATTGTTCATTTTTAAGGGATTGAATTTTTGCACTTTGACTTCCAATTATACCCTCCCTTTAAAAAAACCATTGGACCCAAATTGACCCAATTGGGTCCAAATTGAACCTGTCCAGCCCGTCCCTGGCCATTACTGGCGGTCCGCCGCCGTGACTCACCAGAATCCGGCCGAGAATCCAACCCCAACAAAACCCCCAACCAGTTCAACATCCAAATCAATAATCCCAACAATCAATTCACACAATTTCACAATCAATCGCAAGATTAATACAAACAAGATCCGAATCTACGAATTAACGCCAACGATAGATATTTGAGCAATGAATCACCTCGAAATGGAAGAATTAAACTCAGGTTGGAGGAGGAGGAACCGCCGCTGCCCGTGTTCGACCGACCCGTGCACACTGGTGGAAAGAGAGAGGGAGAGATGGTGGTCACCGACTGTTTCCCTGGGATGGAGGTCGTCGGTGCTGCTGTGAAACCGTCGGACGACGAACAGCTACGCAGGGGAGTCGACGGAAACTTAACAGGAGAAATGGACGGTGAAGAATGAAGATAAAGGGGTGGGTTGGGTATGGGGTGGGTGAGTAATAAAGGTTTTAACCTTTTAGGGGTATTTTAGACATTACATGTGTATTTAAAGTGTGTGGGAAGATGATTTTAGGACGGGAAAAAAAGGGAAGTGGGAAGATCAATATAGGACGGCGGGAGTATATTAAAAATGATCTTATTTATATAAAATTTATATTACGAATAATTAATATTTTCTCAAAATTTATAGTAAAATTCAGTGATAAAATCAGCCTAAGACAAATAATTTAGGGGGGTTATTCAATTGAGATTTTAAAATATTTTAACAGATGTTTTAGAATCCATTGAATATATGGAATTCATAGTTTGTTTTAGTTCTGTGCGGAGTTGGATAGATTTTATATATTTTATGATAAAGATTTTGAAAGATTTTGTATGGATATGGAGATCTGTGGCTGCGCTTTGGAGATGAAGATTTGCAATAGAGTATTGCGAACAATAAGCTGCAAAGATTGAAAAAACCAAGTAGTTGAATAAAGATTGAAGATCGATTGAAAGTGAGAATATTCTAACAAATTATTGAATAGATATTGTAAAATGAATTCGCAGTGAGTACCTGTTTAGATGGAGGTTTGGTGTAGTGCCATTTGCCGTTGTAGATGTGAAGGTCTGGGTCGTCGTATCAGAGATGGAGGTTGCCGTGGTCAAAAGAAGTATGACCGTCGAGGAAGAAGGTCATTAGCAAAACTAAAGTCCGTTAAAATCTTTGATTGTGATAAGAGATTTGTTAGAAGAATTTCATTTTAGGGAAATAACCACGAAATCCATCAGAATCTTTGTATGATAAAAATCCTCTTAAATCTATGAATTGTTCAATGCCATTAGATTTTGATAGATTTTTTGAAGTTCAAATCAAATACTCATAGACTTTAAATAATTTTTTAAAATTTCAAATGAATACATATTAACTTTTAAAATCCAAAAAACTCGCGGAGAGTCTAAATTGAATACACCTTGTTACAAAGAGGGAGTAATACAAACAATTTAAAGGAGTAAAACGAGGAAAAAAGAAGTCGTGATCAAACTTCAAAGTAAAAAAGTGAGTCTCCCGCCGGTCGAAAGCAGCGGGCAAAGGTGTAATAAAGTTGCGAAAATACCCGACCCGCTATCCCTAACCACGGTTCCCCGAGGTTTAACCACGGTTAAGCTTAGCTGGCAGCGCGACTTTATCCATTTGCTTATCCCCACACGTAAAGGACGTCGTTGGCGTCGTCGACCGTGCACCTACACGTTGTACCCCTCGCTTCCGCAGTTGTACGCCGCCCCGGGGCAAAACGGTAAATTCGCGTTTCCCCTGTCTCTTTATATCCTCAGTTGAAACTTCTGTCCACGTCTCTCGCTTTTCTCTCCTCCACGCTCTCCATCGGAACCTGACGTCACGCCGCCGGAGTTGTTCCCCCTCGCCGGAGTTCGCACGTATACGATCCCATCTTCCCTTTGCTCTCTAATAATATCTCTCTGATTTCATTTTTCGCCTCCTCTGTTTATGGCGCTTCGTGCCGAACCAGTTCTGCAAAAGATTTGAACTAATGAATCAGTTAAGGGAGAAGAGATGTATTGTGGAGTACTAATCTAAGTTTTTATTTTACTTTTTCTGGGTTTAGTGTATGAATTCCTTTGCAATATTTCGACCTAAAAAATTCAGACAACTTTCATGCTTTTGGGATTTCTTAGCATATTTGAAAACTAGGATTTTGACTTGCTACTAGGTCCTGTGTTGTTGATTCGTATTGGGTGTGATTTTCACTTTCTTGAACTTTTTCCTCTCCTGTTTCTGTGGTCTGTTCATGGGATTCATCGTTTTTTCTTATGATTATTAGGAATGATCTAAGATTTGGGGGATTTTTTTTAATGTTGTGGATAAACATGATGTCAAACTATTACCTCATAATGCACCCTTGAAACCAGGAGGTGGATCTGATTGACTACAGATTCAAAGATCAATCTAATGGCTGAAATATTTCTTATGTGTCTTTTCAGTAGGGCCGGGGAATATCTTGACCTTTTTCATAGTGCCCATAACCATATGATACATTTTGCAATAATTATTTAAGAATTTTGGCTGGGATTATTGGATGTCTTTACCTGGTTAATTTATATTGTCACGTTTTTTTTTGCTGGGAATAATATAATAGCCAAATATTACACCCGGGCTTTGCTGGGATAGCATGTGTTTTGTGTGAACTTTTTTTTTTTTGCTTATTATAAATCAAACACATTAGGATCACATATTTCTTGCCTAACTAATTCTAGAATTTATTTCATGCGTTGATTGGCTGATAAAGGTTTTTTTTTAATGCCAGTAATAGTGCACCATTCTATGTGTGTGACCACCTTTTGAGGGTTAGATCTCTTTTATAGAAAAGAATACTCTGCCTAACTAATGCACAACTTGTGGGTTGCTTAGAGTAATATGGTCATTTTTAGGTCCTTTTCTCCGGTTTTTTGATTGATCGTTTGCCGTTTTGCATTTCCTTCCATTTCACTTGGTTATGATGCCCTGGCATTATTAGCATAGATACGGAGTATAAAAATGGATTTGGTTTGATATTTTGCGAGGAGGAATTTGTTTTATGCAGATGGTCTGAGCATAATCATATATTTTTTTATATGTTTTAGAAGTCTTTAGCATGTAACATTTTCTTTTTCCGGAAAGTTCCTTGTTTTAGGAAAGATTGAAGTGTGATCTAATGATGATCCTTGTGTGCATGAACTTTTATGCTATTTCTGCAAGAATGTATTTGAATACTCTTTTGCTTCCACATTGTAGGTTTTTGGGCATGTTAAGTGGTCCGATTAATTTACATTCAAGCACAGTTATCTATAATCTATGAGCCGTTGTCAGTTTGTTTTAAAAAATTAAGTACAAGACATGGCATCAAGATCTTCTACAAACCTTCTGGACTTGGCTAGTGAAGAGATTTTGGATATTCCTCATACTCCCAGGGTTCTTCCTCGGGTGATGACGGTTCCCGGAATCATTTCTGATGGAAGCAATGATTGTGATTCAGATGGCGACCCGTCCATTTGTAAAGATCGTAAAGTCGTGGTTTCTAATATGTTGCCTCTGCATGCTCAAAGGGACAAAGAAACTTCACAGTGGCGTTTCAGTTTGGACGAGGACTCCCTTCTTTTACAAATGAAAGATGGGTTTTCTCCGGAAACTGAGTTTTTGTATGTGGGATCCCTCAAGGTTGAAATAGAACCCAGTGAACAAGAGGAAGTTGCACAGAGACTGTTGGATGAGTTCAAGTGTGTTCCAACTTTTCTACCCCTAGAAATTCATAAGAAATTTTACTATGGGTTCTGTAAGCAATACCTGTGGCCTCTTTTCCACTACATGTTACCAATGTGCCCCGACCATGGAGACAGATACGATCGTCATCTGTGGCAGGCATATGTATCTGCTAATAAGCTATTTGCCGACAAGGTGATGGAAGTGGTAAATCCTGATAATGACTACATATGGATACACGATTATCATCTAATGGTTCTCCCCACATTTCTGAGGAAGCGTTACCACCGAGTCAAACTTGGGTTTTTTCACCACAGCCCATTCCCCTCTTCAGAAATATACCGGACTTTGCCCGTTAGGGATGACATTCTTAAAGGGCTGCTGAACTGCGATCTAATTGGTTTTCATACTTTTGATTATGCACGCCATTTTCTGTCATGTTGCAGCAGGATGTTAGGCCTGGACTATGAATCTAAACGTGGGCATATCGGACTCGATTACTTTGGTCGTACCGTTTATATAAAAATTTTGCCAGTGGGTATACATATGGGCAGATTGGAGTCGGTGCTGAACTTTTCCTCCACGATTAACAAGGTCAAAGAAATCCAAGAGCATTTTAAGGGTAAAAAGGTAATTCTAGGAGTGGATGATATGGACATCTTTAAAGGCATCAGTTTGAAATTATTAGCTTTTGAACATTTATTGGAGCATTATCAGGAATTCCGAGGAAAGCTTGTTCTAATACAAATAGTGAACCCTGCTCGGAGCTCTGGAAAAGATGTTCAGGAAGCGAAGCGGGAAACATATTCAACTACTAAAAGAATCAATGAACGGTTCGGTCAACCCGGTTACGAACCTGTAGTATTGATCGACCGTCCTGCTGCTCGCTATGAGAAGACTGCATATTATGCTGTGGCGGAATGCTGCATAGTCAATGCAGTAAGAGATGGGATGAATTTGGTACCTTATAAGTACGTTGTATGCAGGCAGGGGTCTTCTGGTATGGATGAGGCAATGGGTATCAAATCTGATTCTGCCCAACGGACTAGCATGCTCGTTGTATCTGAGTTCATTGGTTGTTCACCATCTTTGAGTGGAGCACTTAGAGTGAATCCATGGGATATTGAAGCAGTTGCTGAGGCACTAAATGTGGCCATTACAATGTCAGAATCCGAAAAGCAATTGAGGCATGAAAAACACTACCGATACATTAGCTCCCATGATGTTGCGTATTGGGCTCGCAGCTTTATGCAGGATTTGGAGAGGGCGTGTAAGGATCATTATAGCAAGCGTTGTTGGGGTGTTGGGTTGGGGCTACATTTCAGAGTTCTCTCGCTCTCTCCGAGTTTTAGAAAGTTATCCATTGATTGCATACTGTCTTCGTACAAAAGGACAAGCAGACGGGCAATATTTTTAGACTATGATGGTACCATCGTACCTCAAGCGTCTATAGCTAGATCTCCTAGTGCTGAAGTTATTCAATGCCTGAGTGCCCTCTCTAATGATCCCAAGAATACAGTGTTTATTGTGAGTGGCCGAGGAAGGAGTTCCTTGAGTGAATGGCTTGAGCCATGTGACAGACTCGGGCTCGCTGCTGAACATGGTTACTTCATAAGGTATGACCTTAACTACTCGTTTTCCATGTTTTTTCTCTGCTCTAAAAAATCCTAATGCTTGTCTTTGACTGGGTAACTTTTCTTTTTGGGAACAGGTGGAATAAAAGCGCAGATTGGAAATGCATGAGTGCTGATATAGAGTGGAAAGAAATTGTTCTACCCGTCATGAAACAATACGCCGATGCAACCGATGGCTCCTCGATAGAAACTAAAGAGAGTGCCTTGGTTTGGCACCACCAGGATGCGGATCCCGACTTTGGCTCCTGCCAGGCTAAAGAAATGCTTGATCATTTGGAAAATGTTCTTGCAAATGAACCTGCGGTTGTTAAGAGAGGGCAGCAAATTGTCGAAGTAAAGCCGCAAGTATGATCTCTTTATTCCTTTTTTTTAACCCTACGAATGAATGTATCTCTAGCATTATCTGTTTTCTGCAAAAACTTGAGTTTCTTGCACTGACCACAGAAAGATTTTGAGTGGTCTTAACAATGATTGATATGATATATACAGGGAGTGACCAAAGGATTGGCAGCCGAGAAGGTTCTGGAAATTATGGCTAATCGAGGGAAGCCACCCGATTTCGTGATGTGCATTGGCGATGATAGGTCGGACGAAGACATGTTTGAGGGAATAACGAAAATGGTTTCTGGGGTGTGCATGCCAACAGCCCCACCAGAATTGTTTGCCTGCACGGTCGGCCAAAAGCCAAGCAGGGCGAGGTATTACCTTGACGACACTTCAGATGTGGTCAAATTGCTCCAGAGCCTAGCAACTTCGTCGAATCCAAAGCCGAGACAGGTCGCGGAGTTCCAGGTTGCCTTTGACATGTTATGACGCCGCGACTTTGCGGGTTAGTTTTTTGCAGCTGCTTGGAATTGCCTGCTGCTATGACTTGTGCATGAAACGCCATTGACAGTGTATAGGTAACGGCTTCTGATTTCCAAGTATTAATGTATAGTAGTATTTAACTTTAGTTTTCATCCTTGTTTTGCTAATCTTTGTTTCATATTAGCTTGAGACTAAAACACCCCATATATCAATCGTATCAATGGACTGAAAAAGACCAAGTGCCATTATGCGTTCTGTTTTTTTGACAACTTGTTGGGATGCAAGCAGTGGTTTACTGTTTACGTGGCTGTTTATTGTGATTCTAATTGGGACAATGTATTTCGTGGCCACTCAAAATTTATTCAAATTGTGGTGTTATATCCCAATTGATTGATTTTGTTTGATAACCCCGAGAAAAATTTCAAATTTAAATTGAAAAAAATAATTAGACGAAGATTGTCATTTTTCTATGGGAGATGGGAAAGAGTTATTTAATTTGCTTCGTATAATAAGGGATTGAATGAATATTTCATTTAAGCAAAATATTCCCTCTGTCTTGATTTAAATTGCCTAGTTTGACTTAGGGGCATGTTTAAGGAGAAAAAAATGGTGTTGATTTTCCAAAATTACACCTTTTTTGTGCTTTGATGCTAAAAACATGAAAAGAGACCCCACAACATTCAATAACACACGCATACACCCATTCAAACACCACCATGAGAATGATTATACTTATCAAATCCACTACCAAATTCATTAATACATCAAATCATTATCTTGGAGAAAAACTCCCTTCCATTACACCAAAAAAGCTCAAATCTAAGTTTATATAATCAAACACAAAACAACCATACTTTGTTCTTTCAAAGCCTTAAAAAAATATCCAAAGGCATATCTACCACGGACTTCATCAACACAAGGATTGTCATAGTTCCCTTCATCCCTCATCCCACTGCAGCAAGTCACCCAAGTTGTCCCTCGTCCCACTGCAGCACGTCCCTCAAGATGTTCCAGGAATGCACCTATCACAGAAGAAGAACATGAAGAAGAAGAAGAAGATGATGATGATGATGAAGAACAAGTAGTAGAAGAAGAAGTTACTGCTGCCATTAAAAAACAAGAGAAATCTGACTAATGTGGAAAGAAGACTAATTCTAGATTATCTTCTTCACAAGACAACTAATGGAAAACTTCAAGGCGACACGTTTAAAGAAATCATGAATGATTTCGACATATGCCGTAGAACAGTAAGTTCACTTTGGTGTACTTGTCGTAACCAAGTTGTAGATAGATCATTGCTGGATGCAACTAACAACAAGATATGCATTGTGGGCAGAAAAAAAGTGTGTTTGGATTTGGTACAGATAGAGAGCATTCCATTTCACAGAAGAACAAACATAAGATCCCTCTCTGCATCTATACAAGTACCCAAATCCACACTACGTAGGTGCATACAAGAAGGGAGAGTACGATGTCACACAAATGCTATCAAGCTTTTCTTAATAGAAGAAAACAAGTTTAACAGGTTAGCTTTTGTATTAAGACAATTTCTTCCAGAATTCCTTTCCCTCTCACCCACCTTTCAAGATTTTTCTTGTACTAAAAATAGTTTAAATAATTAAATAATCACTGAAAGTGTATAAAAGAGAGAGGGAACCCCATAGGATAGCTAAAAGTAAGGCTCACATGCCCAAATTAATGCACTTATGCGCAGGAGGTAGGCCCATCTTTGGTCCTCATGGAGGAAATTTGGGATGGAAAAGTAGGCATTTGGCCTCTAATAATTCAGGTTTGTGCACAAATGAGTAGTAAAAATAGGCCAGCAGGAACTTTAGAGACTAAACTCATACCTAAAATCACAAAAGAGCTATACACAAGATTCTTGATTCACATAATTTTGCTAGAAATCAAGGAGAAAGTACCAGATGCACTCACAAAACACATATATCATATAGCAAAATAATGCAAAATTTCATATTGTTTTTAATGACATAAAATTTGTGCAAGTAGCCAATGCTAATGGTTACAATATTGAGCTTACATGTTAACCACCAAACTCACCAAACCTAAATATTTTAGACCTGGGTTTCTTTGTATTAATACAGTCATTGCATAATCAGACAACAACAAAAGAATGTGGATGAGTTGGTGCGACCACTGGCTGAAGCATATGCCAATTTAGATGCAAAGACACGAAACAATGTATGAATCAGTTACCAGTTAGCAATGACCGATATCATGAAGGTACAAGGAAGAAAAAATTACAAGTAGGCAATGCAAGACTTGAGAGGGAAGGTGCACTACCAAACTAAATGAAGGTAAGAACAAAATTGTATGAGGCCACAATGCATGCTTTATAAGGTGTCCATAGCAGAAATGGGAAAGGGAGTGCATCAGAAACAATATAAGTCATCTCATTCTTAAAATATCTTCTTTTTATTTTTTGAAATGTGTTCATCATATGCACTATTTTTTTTCACTAGTGTGTATAAGCACTCATGTATGCACACACTATTTCGTAAGTAGTGTGTATGAGCACTTATGTATGTAAATACTTTTTTTTGTAAGTAGTGTGTAAGGGAAGTTATGTATAGACATTTAATATTATAATCCTTACTATTAAAATGGATGCTCTTCACATAAAACTACCAAACACATTGGATGCAGTGGGAGGCCTCACAAATGTTACCTCCAAAATTGATCTTAGGTGGGTGGCTTCAAGTTCCAAAAAGAACAAACACACAAGCAACACAAGCCGTGGCAAATTCACCATAAGCATATTACAAAATACTCCGTAGCACGCAACATATAGGTCATTCTTCCGTGGAAGTTCTCATAATTAGTTTCCCAATTAGAGTCAGAAATAGAGTGATGCACATACTAAGACACTTAATTGAAATATAACACCCACATAAAGAGAGAGGAGTACTCCCCTACAAGTCCTTGTAGCACCCCTTTAGATCTTATATAAACAACTCCCACAAAATGTCATCCCTTTCTTTGTATTTGTAGGACTCGGATTGGGTGTCATCACCGTTCTCATTCTCCTTACACTCATCCTCTTTATGTTCATCTTCTTTGCGAGCGGGGGGGGGGGGGGGGGGNTATGTTTTTCAATACAGATCTCATAAAAAACGTATTCAAGCTCTGATTAGTAAGAATCTGGAATACTAGGGATAGATGAGAATTCATTTCGTCGTCTACTTCATCCATTAGTATGATCTGTAAAAAACAAACCAATGAAAACATTAATTCAATTGCTTAAATATGATAAGCATAAGAAAATTTAAGAAAATACTAACCTTAGATATCGAAAGGGCTCAAAGGTAGCCTAGATTTGAATTTCATAGATATGGATAAAGAAGAAACACTCTATATCCGAATTCAAGAAAGACAAGATCCCAAAAACAAGATAAAATAGATGAAAGGAGAGGTGAGGAGGATGATGAAATGAGAGAAGGGAAGAACGATGAAAGAGGAGAGAAGAGGAGAATGATGAGAGAAGAGGATCGGAGAACGAAGAAATGTCCAGAGAAGATGAAATGACTGGAAAAGGAGAATATTAAATATGTTTTCATATTAATATATTAATATGATTGTCATGCTTAATTATTGTCACAAAATTAATATATTTTCCATATTATTTTTATCATTAGATCTATACAGTTGATTTATTGAATTAATATTAAATATTTACAACTAAATTGATTAATTTGAAAACATATACTCTCTCCATTCTAAAAAAAATTTACTATTTTTTTCTCTCTGGCCAAAACACTTTATTTTCTTTATTAAAAAAAGGATGAGTGACTCACAATACTTCTTTGTTTTCTAAAAAATAAAAACCGTAAAGTTTTTATTTCAACACTTGTCTTAAGGTCAAAAGTTAAACAAAGATATTTACGTGAAAGTTAAACAAAGATATTTCTTCTTACACGAAGGGAGTATAATTTTTGTATGGTTCAACCAGATGTATTTATGATATATATCCAAATTATATCATACATCCGGTTGTACTGAATTTCCAATACAACCGGCTAATTGAGGAACACAAATTACCTAGGAAATGGAACGGAAGTCGCGAGAATTGAAGCCGCTCCTCTATTTTCCGGGTTGGGCCACCGAAGATGAAAGATGATGGAGCAGAGAAGACGGAAGACGATGGAACAGCTAAAATGAAGAGGAGCGATGGTGGCGAAAATCTGGCAAAAACTATGGAGAAGGAAGATCTAAGGAGCAGCGAAGGTTGCGGCGGCATAACAGATCAAGGTTGCGAACCAGGTCATGTAAATCGAGGAAGAAAGCCGCGATAGATGGTAGGAGAGGCACGGGGATGAAAATCCTAGTCAGGTCAGGTCGCAAATGAGAAGCGCGCGGAGAAAAGGTTATTTATGGTATTGATTTTATTTTATTTGAAAATGAACATTAAGTAATTTGAGAATAAGTACTATTTTAATTCAAAATGAACACTGCGTTATTTGTACATGAATATTATAATTGTATTGAATAAATGTGTGAAAATGAGTACTACATTATTTCAAAATTAGTACTACATTATTTTAGAATAAGTACCACGATATTTCAAAATGAATAGTTATGTTTCTGCGAGAATGAGTACTACTCTACTTCAAAATGAATACTACTCGTATATACCTATCTCTAGGTACATCCAGTTTGTACCATATACCTCCTCAGCAATAGGAACCCTCTCAAAAACTTCAGGAGACGCTCGCCTATTGCGCCTAATCAACAACGAGGCATTCATTTTGCATGTTAATCTTCCTCCAAATTACATTACTGAACCAAGAGAAAATTTAACAATGTCCACTTTATGCTCTCTATCTACACTTTGATTATTTACACAATAACCATCAATGCCATAGTATGACACTGGTCAATCTGAGCCCCATATGGCACTCTGTTCAACCCCAAAGTTGTTCCCCCTCCAACATATCATGAAACACCTTTACCTTATGGGCTATAGCACATTTGCATTAGATGACCAATTTTTTGCCCCGGGCTAATCTATCGTGGGACTACAAAATACTCCGTACCATAATAAACACTTCATTAGTATGGGTTCCAATAATGAAATGGAGAGAAGCCGCATATGATGGAAACTCAAAGGAAGAAAAGTGAAAACCACAATAGCATCAATTAAGTACATATAGGCTTCTTCTCGGAACAAATTAGCATTAGTGTTTTGAATAGTTTTTTGACGAGGCAGGATAAGTTTGAAAACACTAACATTAAAGCAAACGGTTGGATCACATTTTCAAAACGTGACAGCTAACGATGCCAAACACGCCCATAACAATACCAACTGATAGTGAGAATTAATACTTACAGCAAGTTGCAGCAATGGATAAGAGTTAAGACTACATTACTTTGCTCTTTTCCTGGCTGTTAAGCCCACACTGCCCTTGGGAAACTCGGTGCTTGAAGTTGTTGCTAGCCCTGCAAGAGCAGAGAGATTGGCTTGTACCATACTATCTATCGTACTGTTGCCTCCAGAGTTCTTACCATCCTCACTTCCTTTCTGGGAGGTTGTTTCACCATTGTATGATGAGAGCAGCCCGTCATCAAAATGTATCAAATCCTTCAATTCGTGGGCCACCGGATCTGACTGTGGTGGTGGTTCATTGGTAGTGCAAGTGCTATTCAAATCCAACAAAGGCACATCTTTCACTTCTATAATTTTAGGATAAGTTTTTGATGGTTCCCTGCCACTCTGGTGATCCAAATCCAACAAAGATAATGGTTTTTCAAACGGTTTCCAGGTTTCTACTACTCTTCTAGAACTAAACAGTGGGGTAAACATTAGAGAGAAATGTGAGAAACTAAGATATACTATTCGCTTTAGTAGGGAATAAGATACTGAGTTAACAACTACGTTTCTGAGCTCGAAGAAGAGAATCAGAACTTGTCTCCCCAGACTCATTAGGCAATGCTTCCATGTCCCTTTGTACCAATGATGCCTGCGGCCTCCCTGTCTACAGAAGTTCCAGATGAGATTAAAGGCTCATCGCTTTGTTTTTGACACATGAGAGGGTGAGAAATGATACTTACATGTGGGATGACAAAAGGACGAAGCACAAATCCAACAACCAATCCAAATAAGCAGGAAAGCCCGACCCCTAGAAACCAAGACGTAGTTGATCCCAACACTGGAATAAAGAATCATTCAATGTTAGATACTACCGAGTGATCATGATGTACATAACTAAAAAGCCTAAAGTTATTTGCAATAATATGAACCGCTTAGCTACATTTTTGCATATGAGTAATCACTTGAAACTCTGAACCATAGAATAGTGCATCTTGCGAACTCCTCCATAAAAAGAGTCTCTTTCGGGTAAGACACGTGCTTTATATTTTTTCACCCAACTCTAGGTGCAAACTTTTACGAATTAAAAATTGTAATTTTGTCACTTATACCTTTATATTCATTTATAGAGTACTTATCTTTAAACACACACAGACACACACAGTCTGGGCTTTAATTTATATCAATGAAAATATGGGGAAAATGTAATCCCTTGTAAAATCCTCGCCTTGCCCTTGCTCTCTCCCTCTCTCCCTCCCTCCAATTCAACTTCATTTCATTCTGCAATTTATATTCTTAATGAATCTATTCAACCAAAAAAAACTTAGTGGCAAAATTTTAAAATCATTTTTGCTTTAAGGGCCCTACACAAAAACTGAAATGCACTTCATTACAGTTGAATTTTTATATAGGACTTTTTTGGGACAAAAAATGGGAAACATGAGTTCTTTTGAGAGGAAGGGAGTAATGAATTCTAAAATGGGCAATTAATTTCAGGTGAAACTTAATTTAGGGGTATACCAGATTCAGATCCACCAGAGCAATCATCTGCCCTGAGATTTATCTGGCGAACTAATCTATTCCCAATGTCAGAGATGATCAAAGCACATCGTTGAGGAATAAATACTAGCTCGTAATCATCTGAGAACGAAGCCTCTTTTCCAGAGCCATCTTTCTTGCCTGCTGCATCAGAAACCCCTCCAACTATAGTAGTCACACCTGCATCAAACCATTGTGATCAACATGCATCTTATATTAAATAGAAAATAAGAAAACTAATATGGGTCGGTGGCAAAATCAAAGAATTTTCAAAAAAATATAAAATCAACATGCATGTCACAAAACATGACAAAGGTTTATACGTTACCCAAACATAAGATAAAATAACAAGAGGTAATGCTCCATATGAAAGTGAATACTACATGCCTGATAAGGTTGAAACTCAAGTTCCTACATCAAGAACATGAAGGAGCAAGGAAGCAAAAGGTAAAAGCAACACATGGAC